TTTCCTGTAGTGTGATATATAGGTTTGTGTAATGTTCTGCAAAGGCTCAGATCCCAAAGTTCCTTCCAGAGGGAATTTCTCTCCCACAAACAAAATCCGAACATATAAGAAAGACCAATATACAAATATTCTAATTACCGTAATTTTCGGACTATAAGCCGCGCCTTTTTTCCCATTTTTCGACCCTGCGGTTTATATAACGGTGCGGCTAATCTATGGATTTTTACAGCTAACGGCCACTAGGGGACCTCCTAAATCTATGGATTTTACAGGTTACAGTCCACCACCTTTAACTCTATGGGCTCTAGCCGATCCGCACCCCCCACCTTTAAGCGGCGGGCTCCAGCAGGAAAAGCTGGAGGCCGGAAAAGAGCGAGACAGGTAGCGCGCAAAAGTAAAAGTGGAACCGAGAGTGGTACGAGAGACAGAACGAGAGCAAGACAGACAGACATTACGAGAGCGAGACAGTTTGTCCCCGTACCACTGGTTGAAAACCACTGCTGTAGATCACTGCCGGTACGTGCGCTGGGAGCGCACCGTTTAAGTTTGAAAGTTGAAAAGTTTGTGTCTGAAACGCTATGTGATACAGTACAGTTTACACAGCACAGCACATGTTCTGTAGCTATTGCACTAAATGGTAACACTTGAATACGTTATGCAAATATGCAACTTGTTTGTTGAAATGTTAATAAATGGGAGCTTCCTCAAACAGCCATCTCTTTCCCGACTATCCCCTCTGTGCACGAACCCTTACATATGGTAATTAAACATTAAAAACACCTGCGGCTTATAGTCCAGTGCGGCTTATATATGTACACATCATTCAATTTAGCTGCTGCGGCTTATATTCAGGTGCGCCTTATAGTCCGAAAATTACGGTAATAGATTTTCCTAAATAAATGATCCTGCATAGCAACTACTGATTATTAAATGAAAAGAACTAACTGAAAAAGGAAATTGCTAGACTGCATATCTTACTTCACTTAGTTAGTTTTTCGGGTATTTTTGATGTATTTGTGATTACATTTGACTTTACTAGAGGAGGAGAAGGTGTTCCTGTATTGGCCAATCTTATTTTGATGATAGGAAATATGATTGTATTCCTCATGTGGTAAGGTAAGTCTCTAATAATACATTTATCTTGATATTTTGAGGAGATAGTATTTCATTTTCTCAGCATATCCTGCAGCTGAGTGATGACTCGTACCTCGGATTCTGCCTCTCCCTGTATCTCAGGACTGAAGAAAAAGGCGTCACTACTCAGCGAGACTCTTCAAGTATCCCGAGGTAATTGGGGGTGAAGGACAAGAGCTCCAGGCAGAGGAGGAAGAGCCCACCATCACTGAACCATTAAAGAGCAAAACTTTCCAACTTCACTTTCAAGCAGAAAACTTTCTAACAACTCTTTCAAGCACCATCATCTGCAGCATCTTGGTGAGTGGCCAAATCTGCACTCTGCCGGTCTCCCTCTAGCAGGAAATATAAGCAACCGATATGTAAAAATCGGAAATTGACTGCAGTGAGTGAATATTCACCAGCGTGAGAAACAGCACACGAGTGGAATACTAACAACGTTTACCCCCTCAACACTGGCTTTTGGCAAAAGAGCATTAAAACAAGAGAAAACAACAAATTGAAACTGAAATCTGACACGAAAGAAAATAGTCATTTTTTGCATTTCTCATTCTATGTTGGCACCCCCATGTTTAGTCATTTTACAATTCAACTGCCCACATCTTCACCGCTTACTGAGCAGCTTGATGAGTATGAAGGTAAAGTGATTACAATCTAATGAGAAACAGAAGTCGTGTTAGCTTTCTCTCAGTCTGAAATGTTCATCAACACCCCTGATACATCCAACTGTTGAATACAAAATCCCTGTATAAGTATTGTTACTCAAAAGAAGGCAAGAGAAGCCAATCAGAGGCACAGAGAGGGATGCTTGTATTGATATATGTAGATGAGGAGACAATTATTTTAGAGAGTCGTGAAGGATAGACATACCGTGTGCCGTCAGCCTTCCAGCTGACTTTGTATGGTTTCTGTTCCATGAAACGAAGGTTTGTCCTGTCCATGGACACAGGCTGAGCCCCAGGGAAACCAGACCTGAAACAACAGTGAACACACACTTCTTATATTTGTATTTCTTCCTTCATCCCTACAGCCCTTACATCTCATATATGGTTTGAGAGACACACTAACGAAGACTGCATCGCTCCTCTCTCGACTAAAGACGATTGGTGGGCTTCCCAATAAACATTCAATGAAATCAAACATTACACGTGATACATTAAAGGTCCCATGTCATGGCCATTTACTGATCATAATTCCATTGTTGAGGTCTACTAAAATACATTTACATTGTTCCATTTTCCAAACTCACATTGGTTTCTCATACAGCATCTCTGTGTAGTATGTGTATTCACTCTCTGTCCTAAACGCCTTGTTGGAGCTCCTGCCCCCCCCCTCCATGAGCCCACTGTGCTCTGATGTGTGTTTATGCGTTACAACGACGTTTGTTAGCAACCAGAAAATGACACGAGTAATGACAAACAGATGAGAATGCTGCGTGGGGTCTGGGTGCCGTGTTCAATCTTTTCTCAGCTGCAGCTCCGCAGAGGCTGCGCGCGCGTGTGCGTGCGTGCGTGCGTGCGTGCGTGTGTGCTCAGGCTGAGTTCCGCAGTGTCTCGCCGACCACACACCGGTAAGCCAGCTCACACTGTCCGTGCCTCGCAGCAGCGAACCTCGCAACGTCCCGCCGAGTGTGTGTGTGTGTGAGGAAGTCTACGTAACGGCTCCGCGGATTGGTCCATTTGGACCATTTGTCGTCGTTACGTCACTTGGCTCCCGGAAGAAAAAAATTAAAAATTAAAAATCTCCAACGAGGCGTTCTGGGGCAGAATAGGCAGGTCTTTTCTGTGTTATAGTTTTACTCGCTACAGGGTGTACTTTGAGGGTTGTGACTCTGCGGACAGTTTCCATGCATAAAATCCTTCATAACACAGAAGGGGACAGGCAATAACCGGAAGAGCATGACATGGGACCTTACATTAAGTTATGTACGTGGTCTTTTTATGATGAAGTATGTATGAAGCCTTAGAGATTTTGTTTAACCGTAGCACTTATAGCGGGGGCCTACAGGTGTGATGCTGACTCTTTAGCAGCTAATAATCAAACAGCAGGTGGGAGAGTTGCTGTGAATTATTTTGTCGGCAGGGACTCTAGTACCTGTTTTGCTCGTATTAAGCCAAAACAGGCCGTGTAAAAAATGTTTTATTGTTCGTATGTCATTATGACGCTGCCAGGACATTCGCCTTTTTGTTTGTCAGGTCAGCATTAGCTGCATGCGCCATGATGGGTGCCAATTTCAAATGGACAAAAACATCCAGACAAACTTTCTAAGTGCACTCAAAGGGCTTAGGAGTCAATGCACATAGCAATGGCACTTTTCTAGTTACTTTTAAGTTCTTTATTTCTTTAAAAAGCCTTTGTTTGACCTTATCTGGCTGTTTTTTGAATACATACAGAGCTAGAAAAACAACGTCTTCAAAAGTCAATGTGAAATGTATAACAGAAACTTTGGGGAAAGCAGGCGGTGGAAACAGCAGTGTTGTCTGACGCATCAGTATAGCTGACTTTCTGCTTTAAAAGAAAAAAGCTACAGCAGCAAATTTCTCCTGAAAAATCTATTCTCGACTGCCGCCTGTCAAAGTGTCAACATGGTTTTTCTTTTTTAAAAAGGCGCTTACAACAAATGAGTCACTCTGAACAACACAGTACAGTACACCCACATGTATTAGTACACACGGAGCGGCTGAAAGGAGGGCAGAGGGAGATTCTCACCTCTCCCACTCGGCCATCCTCTGACACATTCGTTGGATCTCTCCGAGTTTGGGTTGTGTGGTGAACTGTGAGACGCCTTTCACCGTGATGCCTTCAAGGAATACTGCACCCTGGGAGGATGTAGAATGAGAAAGTTAGACTTGGATTGAATTAAAAGAGACACTCATACCCTCCTACACGTACAGGGAAAAAACATTTGATATCCCCGAGATATTTCACAAACAGCTGCTCCTTCGAGTTCTTTACCTCCGTTAAAGAAAAAAAACGTTGCACTCATTTTATGAATTCACCTTTAAAACCTTGTTCCTCTGATTCATCTCCCAGGGAACCTCACTATCTCTGCACCCCCTCACTTCCTTCACGCCTATAGCCCTTATATCTCATATGTGGTTGGAGAGATACACTAACGAAGTCTTCTAACTGGCCTAATATGATAACACATGGCTATGAGATCAGTAACACATGTGGTATGATAATAGGTCACCTCAAGAGCCATTAGTGCAGCACTAATGGCTCTTGAGGTGACCTATTATCATACCACATGTGTTACTGATCTCATAGCCATGTGTTATCATATTAGGCCAGTTAGAAGACTTCGTTAGNGTTTATTTTGATGTGAAATATTATTTATTTAATTTAAATAAAAAGCAATGTTAATTTTGTTAAGTTAATTTAATAATATATGTATTTTTGAATCAAGTATTTAATGTCTTCATTGTTAGTTTCCACATGCCTAAAACAACCTCAAGCTAAATCTAAAAGTTTATAGCTAAATAAGAGCGCTTGAGAAATTGTGAAAGGCATAAAGTAATAGTCAGAATAATCGATTAATCGTTTCATTAATCGATAGATTCATCGATTATATAATTAGTCGTTTGTTGCAGCCCTAATCCAAACAATAGTCCAACGCCACAGGATCGTCTACTTATCTCTTATACGGCACAAAAAAGCAACAAATCGTCACTTTCACAGTAACTAGTACATTTGTCAGTTTTGCATTATTAACTTATTATGACAAATTGTTTAACTTTTGCAAAATTATCCACGTTGGAGATTTCTTTCATGCGAAGCTTAACATAAGTAGAGAGGTTATTTGCTTTGATTGTCACTCCGATGTATATACAGTTTTGTGTGATAATTTCCCAACATGATATGAATCACTACCACAAAACAATCTTTAATAATCTCATGATGATGTTTTCCGCCATGTCGTCCAGCCACACTCATTTTCCATTGGATTTTGTGATTCTCATGTGCATTTTCTTCAATTACATTTTCACATCTCTTGAATACTGAAGGTACAAACTCCTTTGGGATCGAAAGGTGAATCATGACGAGGGGGCTTTCTCTTCTCACTGCAGCTGTTCATGCAAAAAACATATGCACTAATGGCTCTTGAGGTGACCTATTATCATACCACATGTGTTACTGATCTCATAGCCATGTGTTATCATATTAGGCCAGTTAGAAGACTTATTTGCCCAATCAGGAGGAGAAGGGTGGGATTAGAAATTGAGGTGAATCACCTTTAGTCGAGAGAGCAGTGATACAGACATCGTTAGTGTATCTCTCCAACCACATATGAGATATAAGGGCTATAGGCGTGAAGGAAGTGAGGGGGTGCAGAGANNNAAAGCTTGGCTAGATGCAATGCAATTTGATACTCTTGGTACCTGTCATTGTCCATAGGTTTGTAAATGTTACCCCTGTAATTATGTTGTATGATGTCCTTTTTGTTTTCTGTAGTTTTTATGTTTTTCTGTGTAACCAACTTGCTGCAGGTCGCCCTTGAAAAAGAGATCGTTTGATCTCAATGGGATTTCACCTGGTTAAATAAAGGCTACAAACAAACAAAAGCGTAATGTAAAAGCTGAATATTGTTCGCAATTTTTTTTAAAGGGAAAAATGTGGAGAAAATTCATTATTTAAAAAGGATAAAAGAAGGATATTGGTGAGGTGATCAAACAAAGAAGCAGGAAAAGTGACGAAAAGCAAAACAAAGTTTAAGAGCCTGAAATTGAAGACGCTTCTAAAGCTAGCAAATACAAGGAAGGGCTAACAGACAAACGGAGCTACAAGAAAACGCAGAGTCGGGCTGGAAAACAATAGCAATGACATAAAAGAGCACCAGCTATCCACATTTAAGAACAGACTTAAGAAAGAGATGAAGAAAGAAATACCATAATCTCAAACAACAAAAAATTGCAAAATAAAATGGATAGAAAACGTTTGGAAAAGGCCTGCTCAAAACTAAATATACACTATTTTGACTTTCAAACCAAACATATTTACTTTTTGAGTTAGGCTTAGTGCCTACTGGTGTCCTTTCACCTTAACATCACCTACACAGTGGGGGAGGAGTGTTTTTCTCATGTGAAACTCCCACACATACAAACAACATCACTTGCACAACAATATTTTGTTTTTTAAGGATGTGGATTAGATAGCAATGTATTTTTGGAAATGTGCAGATGCCACTTGACCTGTGACTCAACCTTTTGGACGGCCATTTAACCTCCTGCTGTTTTATCGATTTGCTCTGTGACCATCAGCTGATAACTGTTGTCCTTGGAAGATGTCTGATGTTTACCAGTGTTACTATATTAATATTAAAAATGCATTGTATTTTTGAACATAAAATAAAGCATGCAACCTGACAACCATTTGCAACAGTTCAATTTCAGAGTAACACTGCTCTCTGCTGGAACCATAATGTGATGCAACTCATGGGTCAGCATCATAGACTGTATATATAAAGTCAGCATGCAATATTTGGACAAACAATCCGTTTTAGAAAATATATTTAAATTCCTTTTACACTTAAAATAAGTGTTATATATAGACTGCATACAGTTAATACGCATAATAGATGTTTGTTAATAGTTTAGTATGATGTATCAGAGAAGCAACAAAAGAATATCATTGGAAATTAAGGAAAAAAAGTTAAGTTTAGAAATATTAGTTGCAGGATGCTGTTATTTTTGTATTTATATTATCTGAGGGATAATGCTAGGCAGACATTTTATGAACATCTTAAAGCTTGTTTTAGTGGATCTCAGCTACTTTATTTTACAAATAACCTTTACTTAAGTAAGCAGTGTGCAGGTTAATATCACAGTAGAATGGATAAGGCAGACATTTATAAAACGATATTGCTTAAAGCCTCTTCTATCATCACCCGTCTGTGTACTATGTGCAGTTTCAATTAGTCTTAACTTCATAATAAAAGCGGCAATGTAATGGTTTTTTGAAATAAAACGGCTGTGCGCCAGGTGTTGGTAATTACGATTTGACGTTAAGAGTCGTACTGAGGGGGACTAAATGGATACTTAGAAAACTGGGAGGTTATAAAACGCATCAAAGAAAATTCCAAATGAGATAATGTGAAGGCAAAGCTGTCACTCTTTTACAGCGCCAGCTGTTTGCACACTTGAAATTCTACCTTTATATATTGTAATATCACTAGGGCTGTCAGTCGATTCAAATATTTAATCGCATGATGTCCATAGTTAATCGCACATTTTGTATCTGTTCTAAATGTACCTTATATGAATATTTTTCAAGTTTTTAATACTCTTATCAACATATGAGTGGACAAATATGCTTTATGCAAATGTTTGTTTATTATCATTGGAACAATGAGAAATATTCTCCTGAATCTCTCTCTCTCTCTCTCTCTCTCTCTCTCTC